AACAAGAGGCGGGGCCGCATCCGGGGTTCTCCCGCCGGCCGGCCCACGGTTCTCCGCCTCCGATTGGCTCCGGGCCTTTTCCGATTTGCATAACTCTCCTTCACTCCCGCCCCCTCGCGCGCGCGCGCCTCCGCCACTCCACGCATGCGTACCGCGAACCCTCCTTCCCCTTGGGAGCCCGGACTGCCACTCCCGGCATGCCACGCGGCCCAAGGGTAGGGTTGTCGGGCGGGGGTATGTTGTAGCGCCCTCTTTGAAAGCGACGGGAGCCGCGCGGCGTTGCCGGTCATTGTAGTTCCGGAGCCCGGAAAGCCAGGCGCGCGCAGGCGCACTAGCGCTTCTCTTGCGGTCACCTTCGCCGGCGAAGAAAAGGAGGGTGAAATAAACACAAGACTATCGCGGGAAACGGAGGGAAGGGGGTGTGTGTTTTCCCCACGTGGCCCCAAAAGCAACCCCGTCTCCAAAATTTCATCTTTTAAATAAATAAATAAATTCATTTAAAAATAAAAATACTATGATTACTATTTTCTAAGGAGAAGTATTGTGACGCCTCCTCTGCAACAGCAGCATGCAAATCGCTCCAAAAGAGGCGGTATTTTCTAAGGAGAAGTATTGTGACGCCCCCTCTGCAACAGCAGCGTGCAAATCGCTCCAAAAGAGGCGTCTGTGACCCTGATTTCAAGGTCACAAAAGGCCCTGAATGAGTCACGATGAAGGAGAGAAGAAGGGGAAAAAAAAACACCACCCTATATTCCCAGTTGAGAAATCAAGGGACTTTTCTTTCATTGTAACCAGATTTGCCTCCCAGCTGCCAACTTCCTTGAACTGTCATTATTATTATTTTATGAGTTTCCAGAAACATTGAATGTTTGGGAAAGGAGAACATAGAAAGAACAAACATAAGTCACTCGACTGATTGGAAAAAAACAACAACAAGATTGACTAACTCTATGATATTCAGAAATAAATGCCATTGCGTTCGCTGGGATTTCCTCTCAACGCACTGTGCAGGCAACTGCTTGGCTGTGTATAGGGAGAAAGCGCGGAGCAACATTAAACTGCAAGCGTTCATTGACCTGGAAGGATCTCCCCAAAGGTCATTTAGTCCAACCCCTTGGCAAAAGGCAGCGGCAGCCAATGCTGACAGATGGCCACCTCTCTTCTCTTTCCACGCATCAGATGAAGGAGGAAACACTGCTTTCCAAGGTAGTCTACTCTGTTAGACATCGACTCCCGTCAGATGGACAGATGGTCACTTCCTGTATGAGGAAGGGATTCAGTTTGAACCCAGGGCCTTTTGCTTGCCAAGACCACGTTCCAGGGTTGGAAAGGGTCCTAGTGCCAGAAAGCGAACAGAGCACATTCATAAAACAGCGCTTTAAAACAGGGGGTTGCTAAAATAACCCACTCACATCCTTTAAATTAAAAGATACTTTCTGATTACTTAATAAAACAATGACGTTGGTTGCTACATCTAGAATAGATGCAATTCCAGGCAGGGGAAAGAAGAAGGAAATTAGTATCCATGTGTCAACACTAATTTCATACCGTAAGCAAAATGAGATGCATTTGCCTTATTTGTTTACATGTGTGGACAATGAGGACTAGTACATCAAGCCAAATGCGCAGCCAAAACTTTGCAAGACTTAACGTTTAATTGCTAACGAAAAGGGATCTGGCAATTCAGGATGTCTTCACTGAACAAGGGCATCTAAAAGTCTAGATTTTATCCTCTTTCCATCTCCTTTAAGCGCCAATTAAAACAAACAACACCTGTAAATTGAGCACATCTTAGCCAGGTACATTTCTGTTTGCCCAACAATACCTGCATAGTGATTTTAATCTTCCAGGTGTGTCTGTCTTTGCATGCCAAAGTGCAGGCGATCAACGCCTCATGCAAATCACAAGATGTAGGACAAGAACACGGGGGGGGGGAGGGCTTGGGGGGCTGGACTGGATTATAGGAACCATCAATTCAAGGCAGAGCAACCCCAAAGTCTTCCTGTTGCGCTTCACTAACTGCTGGGTTGTATTTTAACTGGAACAATCTCTACACTTCTTCCTTAAGGCGAAGCCTGTTGCTTTTGCACTCTTCGACTGCAATGCTTTTAAAGGCATGCTTTTGAATTATTCCTCCCATTCTCTCCTTGTTCCTAGAAAAGATAATAGAAGATAACAGAAAGAGAATTCAAAACATAAGAGACCAAGACAAAGGTCTCAATGGCATAAATCATTTCCACTCAGGCTAGTTATATTTGATTCAAATAAATCTATTTCCGCCGGATATTCTGTTTTCATTAAATTCATTTAACATCAAGTGTTGGTGGAGGCTTGAGGCCTTCAGGTACAGTCCTCTCTCAACAAATTCTGTTTTCAAAACCCCCATTCATAAGGGAAATGGAGGTCAAGCATGACGTCACGCCAAGTTCAGCCTTGTAGCTTTTTTTGGGGGGGGGTGTCGCCTTTCGTAATCATGCATTGCTTTTCGAAACCTTTGCCTTTCAGCAACATTTTCACCGAAGCCGAATGTTGTTTTTGTTTTGCAATTCAAATTGATCGTGTCCAAAGAGGACATGGACTTTGAGTGGGGAGTAGCCTATTCACATACACTTGCTGCCAAGAGGCACTTTGCTCCTTTTTTGGTGCCAGTTGGGGGGCATCCGAGACCATTTTAGACCAATTTGTTTTGCCAAGGAACATTCCTGCTTCTTCCCTCATTGGAGGTACATGGAAACATGCCACATAAACTGGGGGGGAAAAGGAAAGGAAAAAAATAAAAAGCATGACCCTAATTTTAGAATGTAACTGTATGTCACCCAGCCACATAAAAATATCCTACCTTTTTCCCATCCCCAAAATAAGCCGCCTTTCCCTTCTTAGTAGAAATAAGCACAGTCCCTGTGCAAGTCTTTAAAGGGGGTGGCACTGATCTAGAAAGATATGAGGCTGATTCACACAACCACAGCTGGGCTCTGCGGGTTTAGCAAACAGCTTCTCGCTGCGCAGACTGGCTAGGACGGGCCCAACAGCATCTTATGTATTTATTAAACACCTGGCAAACATGCAGAAAGATTACAGCTTGGTGGCAGGCATGTGAGCAAAGCCCGTAAACATCTTAAGAGTAACCACTAGACACATGAGGACGGGTGTGGTGTCCGAGAGTAGCTGCCAGCCGCGCCGGGGAAATTAAAAGTTGGATTTGACAGATTATGCCATTGAGACCAATCCTTCCTGACCAGGAGTGAGTCATACTAGCAACGGGTACTATGAGTAATCAGCTCGCACTACTGCTGTCTGCCAAGTTGGGATTTCTGGAAAATATTACATTTGCACGCAAGCAGAATTAGCTACAAGCAGTAGTTTGCGGTATTTAGATATTATTAATTGTTGGTAGTCTTGTGGCAAACGGCGAACTGTCAGAGGATGCTCCGGGGTGCCCTCTGCTGTTCCGACAGCGGAATGACTGAGCCAGGCCCTTGGAGGGTAACGAAGTCTGTTCAGCAATAACAGCAAATAATTTTATGGCACCTTCAAAGCGAACAAATTGTATTGGGGGTAAGCATTTAAGAACTGTTTCCCGTTTCACCATCTGCAAAGAGAGTTAGTGACGGGGGCTGGAAAATATGGAGGCGCAAGCGGAAGTGACACTTTTATTAGACCACGGAAAAACCTGAACAAACAGAAAACTTTTTGTGGATAAAATTCTTCAGACTTATGCACCAACATCTATGAATAGTGCTGAAAATTTGAAAATAAAAGCTCCCAAATTTAATGACAGATGTCAGTGACAGGTCTGAGGTGGAACCTTATGATTATGCCTTGAATTTGGGGGGCTTTTATTTACAATTTTTCTGCGCCATCGATAACTATTTGTGCATGAGCGTGAACAAATAGAATTTTATCCATGAAAGCTTGCTGTTTGTTTGATTTTTTTTTAGTGGTGTCAGAAACATACTGCCTACCCTTGCATCTGTGTAATTTTGGGGTCCACCTGGCTCTTTACTAATATTTGTTTAAAACGTGGAGAATCATCCTTGCCTTAAGGGTGGCTATTCACAAACAGTCTGTAGCAATACAGATATTTGTGCATTGATGAGCTGGTTAACATATGCAGTGTGAATTTTTTTAATACTTTGTTTCTGTTCAAGCCATAAGAGATAAGGATTGAACCTCTTGATTAATTATTTTCCAAGGGGTTCACTTTGGAGCTTACTCACCAAATAACTTTGAAGACAGATGCAAAAGAGCTGGATAACAATTTATCCGGAAGTCCAGTTCTTATCCCCAGTGGCTTCAGCAGAGACAAAAGCTTTTGATCATACTACATGTGTTCATCAGCTTATCAGTCCAAGAATATTTGCCTTTCCACTGACTGTTTGCTCATAGTCGGGAGGAAGCAATGATTAGTCTTGGCATTTCACACTGCAAGTCCTTCTGCTCTCCTGCATTACATACAATGTCTCATCTTCCCCTGCAAACCTATGTACTGTAATAATAATCTAGCATGCACAAAAACAGTTATGCCTTTTTGGAGAGATTTAATTTTTAATATGTCACAGGTCACTTTGAGGGAAGTGCTAAAAAAAATCATAGGTCATCAAGGCTCGGGGAGTAAAATTAGAGTATTGGTGACGCAGGAGAAGGAGGCAAAGAACAGAAAGGAAACCTCTGACATAATAACTCTAAGGAGAAATGAAGAGGAAGTTTCTGCAAATGCTCAACGAAACCTTACCACACTTTCCCCTGTACACCTACTGTCTGTATTGCAGCCGTTTCCCACACTTTTGTGCAATGGATATTTTTCAGTAAGTGACTGGGTTTAGGAGAGGGGGAGCTCGTTCAAATGGGGTCAAATGAACAAAATAAATCTGTACAGTATATACAGTATATTCTGTGCTGTCAACGGCGAACTGTATAGGGGCTCTAATAGGGATTTCAAGGGTTGTATAGAGGCTCTAATAGGGATTATCTCTAAGGTAAAGGAGATATTTAAGGTGTGGTTTTGCCATTTCCACACACCCTTCTGTAGTTTCCATGACCAAGTGTGAATTCAAAACCATGTTTCCTGAGTCCCTAGTCCATCACTCTGTCAGCTGCGGCACCACAACGGGTACAACAACAACAACAACAACAACAACAACAACAACAACAACAACAACAACAACAACAACAACAACAACAACAACAACAGCCAACCAAGCCTGGTATTGCAGCCTTCCACAATCCAGCACACTCATTTTATACTAGAATGCCAATCATCCTCGTCACTTGACCATGCTGTCTGGGGCTTATGGAGGTTGTAGTCCAAAATATCGGAAAAGCACCAGAGTAGGGGAATAAAGGAGGGCAGAGCGAAAAGAGAAGGAAATCAACTGGACCCTTCGCTCACAAAGTGGTGAGTTTCTCCTGGGACTTGGGACAGCCACGTTCAAGCCTCTCTCGTTGAGTCGCCAGATGTGCGGGGTTGCCATGATCAAACATGGTCTTTCCACCTGGCCTACCTCACAAGGTTGTGGTGGTGATAATGTAGCTAGGCAGCCATTTAGGCTCGCTCGACCTTAAGAAAAAGCAGGATGTGAACAAGCAAACATACGAAATGTAAAGTTAATAATAAAACGTTTAAAAATTAATTTAAAAATTGGAAAAGAAAAATTAAAAATATCGGGGCCTACTAGAGATGCCGGAACGCCGTTACCACGGAAACGGCTCCACTCTTTCCCACAATGCTTCGGGCGCGGCGGCCATATTTCCCAGGACGCCTCTAGAGGGCGCCGCGGCCTGCCCCGGCTTCACCCTGGCCGGGCTCCCGTGGTGCTTTGCGGCTGTCTCCATGGTTACCAAGCCACGGGCGTCTAAGCGTTGCCTAGGCCGCAGCGGCCTAGCTGGGGAATGGAGCCTGGGGATGGAGTGCGGAGCGCGGCCGCCTTCTTCGCCTTCTTCCTCCTGCTGCTGCCTCCGCGGCAGGTTTGGCTCTTGACGCCCGAGCCTCCCAGCCTGGCCTGGACTCCCAGCCCGGCCCCCGAGGCGACTAGCGGAGCGGGGGCGACCGTTCCGGGGCCGGAGGCCGAAAAGACCCCGGGCGATGACTCGGTTTCGACCCCGGGGCCCAGCCAGGGATCGCCGGGCCCCGACGGGGAGGCACCCCCTGGGGGCTCCAGCGCTAGCCCAACCGGCCCCTTCGGGACGGTCGCCCCGAGCCCTACGGAGGGGAGCCCTAGCTACGGCCCCGTCCCGACCGAGAGCCCCGGCCCCGCGCAGCCCGCCGCCCCCGACGGGACTCCTCGCCCTGGGCCTTGGCCGGAGGCCCTGACCGATGGTGAGCCCCGTCGCTGCCTCCCCTCTCTGGGGTGCGGTGGGGTGAGGTGGGGGAACGAATGAGAAACGACCGCCGGGTTAAAAAGCCTTGGGAAGAGGCCGTGTGGCTCCGCGTTACACAAATGCAAGGGTAGGATGATGGGGAGGGGGGACAACACACCACTCGCCCACGAAAGCTTGCCATGTGCGCGATACTTTGAGTGGGTCAATAAAGGGGATCGCCCTCGTCTTGCAAAAAAGTGTTTTAAGGGGCAGCTCAGAAAACCAGGCCCTTCAAACTCCCTGGTTTTGTGGGTCCGAATCTCCTTAGAGGAACGGATCCGTGTTTAAAATGGTGAACAACGGAATGAACCTCTTCAATAACATCAGCCACCTTTGTATACTTACAGTTTTTAGCTTTAAATATTGCCTTTTTAAAAAAAATGATGTAAGCTGCCTTGGGACCCTTTAAAGAGAAGGGGTGGGCGGGTCGGTGGGTTAAACATATTTAAACTAAACAGATAAACCAGTGGTCTTCTTTTAAAAAAAATGCCTTCCTATTTCAGTGGCCAAATTATGTGTCTGTGACTTACTGGTGGACCAGTGCGATGTAAATTGTTGCTGTGACCCTGACTGTACGGCTGCCGATTTCGGCCTCTTCAGTACCTGCTCCGTTCCTGTTGTCAGGTGAGTGTTTGCAAGCCTGATGTTTTAGGTTGAAACTGGAAGCTGGGCTAAAAAGCTGAGCCAGAAGTTTAAAGGACAGCTGTGCTACCAAAGAATCCTGTTTTCTGTCTAATGAATAACTTGTTCCCAGGGCTTTTCGAAGGAAAAGCTGCTGATTGGAGCAGAAAGAAGAGCGGGTTTAAATATCCAGCTTTCGGTGTTGTGTTGTTCTCTCACACAAATATACCAGCCCAGAATACATAATAGACGGGATCCTCATCATCATCATCATCATAGAACTGCAAAGCTGGAAGGGATCCTCCAGATCATCAAGTCCAGCCCCTCTCAAGGAGGCACAGTGGGGGAATCGAACTCCCAACCTCTGGCTCCACAGCCACTGAGCTATCCAAGCATTTCTATGAAAGCTTCCTCACATCAAATGTTCTGAATGTGGAAAGCGGCGCATGAGGGAGAAAGCTAGATTATTTTCCCTGATATGTGAGCTTTCTCTGTACAGGGAGATTTTGGACATGAAGGTGCTTTAAGAGAAGCAGAGCCGTTGCCTTCCTCTGGACCCACTGTGTAATGCTACAAGGCTACCAGAATCAGAAGCTGCGTGTTTGAATTAGTTTTTTACATCCTTTCTATTTGAGAGCTTATTTTTCCGTGGGTACAGGTCACATTTTTAACGTAGGCGTGGGCAGATCCACGTAACTGTATTGAAGGCATTGTATCCATCAGGCTGAAATGTTTTGGGTCATAAGGGGAGGAGGGAAGGTTTATGTGGAAAATAAGAAGTGCCAAATTAAAAATCCAGTGGCAAACTAGCAGAAACGCTGGGCTATGACCTGTAAGTGCTGTAAGCTGAAACCTGACAAAGAAAAGCTGCCACTTATGAGCCAATGTTGCAAAGGCTTTGCTGATCACAAGATGACCTATGTGGGTCTTTCGGGAGCCCCTCCCTCCAGCATCTGGGATGTTCCCAATGATTGCCCCTGAATTTTGCCAGCTTGTTTTACAGCTGTGAGAGCCTACCCTTTGATTTTAAATTAAATTGCAATATATAAGCTTGAGTTCTGCACTGCCCAAGATGATGAATCACTTGCCCCATTTGATGACAGTGAATTAATACTGGAAGTGCATTCTTACCCTCCCTCAGTACGGAGATTGTAACTCCGGCCCCACTGAGATATTTCCAAAGGGATATACGTAGTGATGTACGTGTCATGTTCTATTAACGCTCCTATTAAAGACCTCATTCTGTCTTATTAATGCGCCTCATGCGGTGAATGCGGAAAGTCCTTCTGGTCCTTTTCTTTAGGTTATTCAACCGCTTACCTCTCAAAGGGTTGTTTATGCCTCTGGTGTTTTTGTGTGCGTTATGAATCGGACAATCAAATAAAGCGACGTGGCCTGGTGGGGGTGTTGAATACAAAATGTACCAGCAGGTTCCCTGTTAAAGGCGTAAAGATCTTGAAAGATGTAGTTCATTCGCTCGCTTCCCCCTGCATCTACTAATTTAAAGAGTGTTCCCAACAGCAGGATAGATTTGCAGGACAAAAGGCTGCATTTATGAAATGGCTTCGTTCCCCTCTTCCACCACCCCCCATACATCACCCAGACTCACTGGAGAGGCTGATTTTCAGCTCCTTGGTACATGAATCACTCCCGTCACCTGAGATTGACGCTTGCCATTGTTCTGACCCACAAAACCACCCACCTCCAGGTACTTTCAGAGCTATTAAGAACTGTCAAAGCGAAAGCTTCCTGAATGTTGCGAGCCGGATTCTATCTGCACAGAAGAGGCGGCCTTGCCAGGAAGAAGCACGTGGATGCCTCTCTCTGTGTCTCCTTTCACGTGCTGTTCCTTCTGGAAAGCGCAGCTAAAAATGTGGCTCAGGGCAGTGCCGAACAATGTTGCTTTTATTAAGAATCAATTAATAAGGATATGCAGCAGGGACCCCCCTCGGCCCGGTCATAAACCTCGGAGTTGGCTTATTCTTGGAGATTATATTAAATATTAAAACACAGTCAATATAAGATCTCCACCCACCCACCCGAAAGGCAGCGGGGATGATAGTTGAAACTACTGAACAGGCCCAAGAGGTTACTGTAGGCTGAAATAGGAAATGGCCAGCTCAGTCCCCCAATCAAATCATCTGTTGCCAGAAGAGAAAAAGGTAAGGTGAAGGACGGCTTGCCGCCCCCTCCCATTACATGTGCAACTGCTGTCTGTACTGGCTGTTGAATCTTCCCTGAACACCATTGTTCAGAAATGTTAGATTTCTTGACTCTCTAACAGGATAATTTTGGGAATTGTAGTCCATGAAACGGTCCTGGTTTGGTTGAAGATGTGGCCACAGACAGCACGGTCTAATGCATGTTGACTGCAGCAGCCTGGTGTGGGGGCCCTCGGGCAGGCAGTGTGATATTTGTACTCCACCTCCTTCAATATATTCTCATCTTTCCTTGTCCACCCCCCCTTGAGAAACTGCTGCCGGAAGCAGCCGCTAACGCCTTCTGCTTAAAGATAGGCCTGGTTCTGGCTGAGATGTAAATCTCTCCCCATCTCTGTTCAGTGTCACAATTCTGCTTTTTTTTCGATCACGGCAGTAACGCCATAGGAGCAGGTGAGAATGAGGCAGTCTGTATAGTCAAGCCGGGATTCGAATCCGGCCCTGGAAGCATTGGGGGGGCTGGGTCCTAGAGTCATTCACTTTGTCCAATCTCATTTTTTGCACACGTGTTCTCCGTGGACTGTCCTTCGGTTGTGGACATTTTCAATGCATGGCAAAATTGTACGTATTTTTTTAAAAAAACTTCCTCTCTGTTCCCTTCTTCCCCCTCGAAGAGGAGACAGCCAGCTCTGCAGGCAGCAGGAAGCTCTCTATTCCATCGACCTGGAAGTGCAACCTCCTCAGAGGGATTTTCAGTTAGCCGACAAAATCAACCCCAGCGTTTTCTGCCTCCAGACAGTCAACCGTAAGTCCAGCCAAGTCAGGCATAAGACGGGAAGCCGGGTGGATTTTTTCAGAAGCCTCACCCCTGGGCCATACTTTAGTGACTATGAATCCCAGAATCCCCCGGTAGGCATGAGGATTCTGGAATTTGTAATCCATAAAAGTTAACATACCCAGGCTGTGGATTGGTATTCTGTGTGTGTTTGTGTGAGAGAGAGAGCACTTATGTTACTATATGTAAAAGAAGCAGAGACTCCTACCGTATATTGCCAGGCTGTCCCCACTCTTTGGCTTCTGATCGCATGCTCAGGCAAATTAATGTTTTTCAGGGCTGGAAGGTGATCTTCAGTAGAACGGAATCTGTTTCCGGAATCGTTTTTAGGGTCATCTTCAAGACCTGCACTGTGGCGCATAGGAATAAATAAAAGGAATTTTTCCTTGTGCAGCCTTTCATATTTGGTTCTGAAACAATCTATGCCTATATATGATCTTCTTTCCACAATAATTGAGTGTGTTTTCTCCACATTATCTCAGACAGGGAAGATCCCAGAAGCTGTAGGTGAAAATCTGTTTTAAAATGCTATTGTTACAGGGATTAAATATTATATACTGAACTCACACTCTCTCTCTCTTTCTGTCTTTCAGACAAAGCTGCCTTATCCTTCCAGGCTCCAGAAATACCCACTGAAAATAATTTTGATAGGTTGCTTCATGAATTTGGTGGGTACACGTTTGGTACTGAAAACGATCTTGCACTGATGGTTGAAGAGGAAACCCAGTTCACCGCCGATACGAACAAGACTACTGGATACCAAGTAAAGAGTTATAATGCATGAAGTAAAACACGATAACATTAAGAGCTGGGGTGTTAGAAGAGACATACCATTTGGGCTGATTTGCTGCCATAAAAGATTTGTCTGTTAGGTTTGAATGCATTGGGGGGCGGGGGGCAGTCTTGTGTCTCTTTTTACAAACTGGTCTGTTTTTTTGTTGACAGTACAAGGATCCCATTCAGACCTCAGATGGCTTTCTAAGGCTGCCGGCTCCTCTCTTCTTTTCCCAGTGTGCTCTGAGTAATCCTGCAGGTCAGAAGCCTATCCTACCTTTTGTGGGCCGTTTCCATGAGCTCGGGGTGGGGGTGGGGGCTATCTAGCCAGCCACTGCTGCATCATCCTCTTGTCTGCCCTCTCTGGTGATCCCTCTTTGGCACTGTTGCCTCTGTCAGAGTGAGCTGCCCAAGGCACCAGCCCTTTGAGACCTAGTCTAAACAGGAGAAATGAGTGAGCGATACGTTTGTTTCCTGACTAAATACACACCTTAGCCAGGGCACTGTCCAAAATCAGACCTGGTGCAGTTTGGCATCAGGCTCTCTTTCAGTGGCTCTGGCAGAAGTCCTGAAGTTGTAGTTGTGTGTGTGTGTGTGTGTGTGTTTTTCCTGGTACTTTCCACCGAATCTTTGTGAAGGATTTCTGGCGATTCTCTTATATTTTAATTTTTCTGGGAAAATCAGACCTGGTGCAGTTTGGCATCAGACTCTCTTTCAGTGGCTCTGGCTGAAGTCCTGAAGTTGCAATTGTGTATGTGTGTGTTGTTTTTTTTTCCTGGTACTTACCACCGAATCTTTGTGAAGGATTTTTGGTGATTCTCTTATATTTTAATTTTTCTGGTTTCTCCAGGGTTTCTTGTGAACCAGGCTGTGAAATGCAACACGGTGGTCAAGGAAGGCGAATGTGCCACTCTTCCTGCTCTCAGCATGGAGTTCTACACCAATTCTACCATTTTAGCTGTAAGTGTCATTTGCGTGGCCTCCAGGTAGAGTCGGTTTCTGTTTATAGTAAATTAAAGGGTGGAGCAAAAATCAGGATGTCTCCCTCTGTGTGTGTGTATGCATGCATGTACGTATTCTTTCATTCATTCATTCACTTTCAAAGAGCAGAGTTTACACTATTGGGGGCTGCAGGTATTACGTATTTATTTTTACTAGATACTGGCCCTATCTCGATTCTCTGATAGGGGCACTTGAGATGTTAGGATGGAGCCTATGCAGAAAAAGTAGCAATGCTATGTCTGAAAAGACTTCCTTTTTCTTCTTTTCTTCCTTTTATTCCCAATAGGTACCAAATTCGAGTCAAATGGTAAGTTTCCTCTTATTTTGATTTTGGAAAAAAAAAATTACTGGACTTGAATGCACACCAGGGCTGCAGTCAAGGAGTAACTGAACGATCGTTTCTAATCTAACATTGGCAATAAAGCCTATCTTGATCTATTTAATTCACCTGCAACATTTATATCCTTCCCCCGCGTTGTTTATATCCCAGCTGAAGGCAGCATACGTGGGTCTCCCTTCTCCCTGCTTTGTCTTCCTTAACGACCTTGTCAGGCACACGAGGTAGTGAGAGTGAGACCAGCCCAGGATCACCCACTGAATTTCACAGCTGGGTGAGGATTTGAACTCAGGTCTTCTGAGTTCTAATCTGACGGTCTCTCGCACACACACCCCTATGGCTCTTCTCCCGTAGCCTGGCAGGGAGGAAACATGCTGATCCATTTCTATCTGAACTGGGTGAAATTGTTATCCAATTTTGCCTGCATACGAGTGAGACAGAGCACTGGCCAAGACCTGTTGGGCCATTTCTGGGTGAATCAGGCATCCTAGCTGCAACATCCCCCCGAGCTCCCTCGGCCTCCATTCCACGGAGAAAGCTCGACTGCAGGTGAGCTTCTGACTTTCAAGGCGGGCTGTGCTTGCTTTATCTCAGAGGTAGCCCAGCTGCTTTGCGTTGAGAAGGTTCCGTGTTCCGTCCATGTCTTCCCTGAATTAAGCTGAGAGGGATCTCTGTCCAAGACCTTCGAAGAATCACAGCTGCCAGCCAGTGTCTGTCGACCTGGACTAGATAAATCAGTGCTCTTGACGCTACCTGAGGCAGCTTTCTGTGTCCCTAGGAATTATTTTGATGAAGCCCCAGTTGAGGTCATTGTCCAGGACAGAGTTTGAAAAATACCTCTCCTGACAAAGAAGGGGCCAGTAAAGATGCCAAGATCTTGAAGTGGTTTGGTTATGTTTTTTCAGCTGAATATCACCATCCAATCCATCACCGTCCAGACACCGGAGGGGCTGCGCACACGTCTGAGCCACACGGACGGTCTCATGCTCCCCACCTCAAACGGCCGGTCCTGCCGCAACGCCGTGCTCGAGGTCACTGTCCAGTGTCTTTTTGCTCCTTGGGCTTCTTGGAAAAGCAAGAAGAGCTTTCATACTTGCTTTCATACCTTTCTATGGGGGAACAAAGGTTTTAATCCGACTGAAAAAGCGGCCGCTCATGGTCAGTCCGTGGGAACCTCACCAAGGTGGCTGCTCCTCATGTTCCATCTTAGGTTTGGTCTTAGAAGTCCCAAAAGGCAGAAGCATTCCTTGTGATCGGGAATGGCGCCAATTTTGAGTGAGCCACTGATCCGAAGGGAACGAAACCTAAGCTACTTTCTGTTGTACCTTTACAATTTCTGGGAAAAATGTGGATTCTGCTAGACAAGAACCTACACAGCCCATTTGAGTGGAACCTATGTATTGTTTGTGTTTTGTGATGAAGCAGTCTGTACAGTGTGGGCACAAGAGGAATTATAAACATGGCGGGAGGACTTGGACATTCTCCAGAGTCGTTAGCATTCTTGCCGATTGATCTGCACGATGTTCTTTGGCTTTCAGGCACGGTACCTTCTGACCTTCACAGAGGCCGGTGAAATAATTGATGCGGTTGTGGCTTTAGTCCTGGGGACCGTTAACGTGACCACTGTTTTTGTACAGCAGAGCTTTGAGATCCGTTTCATTCAGGTAAATTCCCTGATGCCTGGAACTGTAGAATCCAGTGGTTACAAGCCTGTTGCTCTACCTTAAGCTGTGTAAGACTGGACTGATGATGCCAACAACAAGGACGATGTTTTGTAAATTGAACATTTCCAACTTCTTTCCCTAACCTCTCAAGAGTCCTTTGGGATTCCTTTCATCATTGCAAAGCCGGGGGGTGCCACAGGATGAAAGCGGGAAGCCTTTAGCTTCTGAGAAATCCCCATGGCTGATGACATCATCAGCCTTATGCGGTGCAAATCACCGCAACAGGATTTAATCCTATCGATGGGGGAGACTCGGGGCAAATAAAATAAGGCGCTGCGTTGAGAAAGTCTTCAGCACGTGATATGATGATGTATTTCAACGTGGACTGTTTAGAGGCACGCACGGAGTTTAGGGCTACTAGTTATGGCCACTAGCCAGGATAGCAGTGACTTTTATAAGGCAGTTTTTGGGCAACATGGGATGGAGGATATCATCAATATCATGTTCTGCTTGTGGGTCTCCCAGAGTCACTGTTTGGACAGAATACTGGCTTAGACAGGCCTTTGGTTTGATACAACATTTACTGTTACGTTCATCATTTTTTAATAGTCTTTTGGATTTGAAAAACCTATCACTGTTACCACTGGGAGAAACCACAGAGGGATGTTCAGCAGGCTATATTTAAAACTCTCCCAAGTGTGCTTTTCCTTCATTTGCAGCCCCAATTTTGGCCATAATTAGTGTCTGTATGTCCTCCGCGAGCAGCTGAAGGAACAGTTCAGTCATCCTCCTCTTATAATATCAGTTATTTAAGCTGATTATTAAATAGCGTTTCAGGCAATATCTTTACTCCTAAGGGAGGTATCTTCCTATCAGCTGCTTTGCTTTCAAAACAAACAGCCAGTAGGGAACAAGTCAACATTAAAACCGTCGTGTTCTTTCTTCCAAACAGCAAAATACTCATCCTGTTCCTCTTAGCGGAAGTCCTGGATACGTCGTTGGGCGACCCATAAGGGCTGGATTTAGGTTGGCTGAATATCCTTTTTGTGCCTTTCTCTAGCTAAGCCCTGCCTTGAAAAATGCTGTATTTCTAATAGCTGGGTCTTTCAAGACTGGTTTTAATGCTCACCAGTTGAGGAAACATAGTGGGGGGAGTTCATAATGTTTGCTGTGGAGAAAATGGCAGAAGAGCCAGCCCGGAAGTAAAATACCTGTAGTAAAAATTCTGTTATAGTTCCTAACGCCTCTTGATCTGAGTAAGCTCTAGGCGTGGGGAGGGTGTGGTTATGAACTCTGAAAGGCGGTCATCCCCTGCTTTTTGAGTCTTACCCAGTCCTGGAGCCTGGAATCCAAATGCTATCATTGTTAATTCCCTGCTCTTTGGCTCCAGAAACACTGCTGCCGAGCTCCCTCATCCAGTTCCAGCCTTCCAGAGGGTTCATCGGCTTTGGATTCGTTCCTAGGGGATACCAGAGACTGATTAAGATTTATTTATTTATTAATTATTTATTTAATTTATATGCCACCCACACTACCCAAAGGTCTCTGGGTGGCTTACAACAAATAAAATACAACAAAAAAAGATAAAACAATTAAAATACAATTAAAATATATACTCTAAAAATTGCCATCAAGATCAACCAGCCATTCCAGGATTGGCAGCGAGCTGATGGGGGGAGGGGTGGACAGGAACGCCTACCTCAAGGGCGCGATGCTCTGTACGTCGAGGTCACGTCCTAGATACCGCCAGTCGACAAGAGATGCAGAAGAGCGACCCTTTTTGTTACTCCCTTAACCCGTTTGCGTTCACATCAGGAGTCGTTCAGAGCACCAACGGCGAGGGCCAGTTGACCATCATGAAAAGCGTCCCCGCGCAGGATTGTTTCGCTGTGGGAGGAATCCGAACGCCCGTCCTGTTTGGTTACGACATGATGTCTGGGTGCCAGCTACGGTAAGCGGCAGAAACAAGGAGCCACTTCCCCTTTCTGGCCACCTGCCTGAAATAGATGCCGTCCAGCCGGTGACCCAGGCAAACGACATGGAAGGCAGGGAATGCAGTGTGCGACTTAATTAGATTCCACACACACACACTCATATATTTGTGTCCAGAGCACCCTCCCTGCCTCCATATCATTCAGTCTCATTAGTTCTGCTAGCCCCTTGAGTGGCAAGAGTATGCAAGCCAGCTTAAATTCCCTTTGTTTCTCCTCCCTCGGGGATGATTTGGAAAAACAAGAGGTTGCCCCTCGGCATTCTTGAGCAGCTGTGTTGTTGTTTTTCCTTTCCTGAAAGCATTACCGAGGACGCGGACTGCGAGATCTTGGCCCCGGCGCTTCTGAGCATGCTGAAAGGTCAAAACTTTCCCGATTGTGTGGCCTCTTTTGGAAATTCTCTGCCCCAGAATGGACCGGATTGGGTGCAGATTCATTTCAATGTCACCAAACCAGTAAGAGTTTTAATGTTGTTACTCGAGGGTAGGAGAGTTGGCTTCTTTTTCTCTCTAAGGATTCTCCGGGAAGACCTGGCCAGCCTCCTCCAGACGTTTTGGTTAGTGGGGGAAGGTCTTAAATATTTCTTTTCCCACCCCTTGAATTAACAAAGACCTCTGATTCAGGATGACAAGGAAGCAGGCGACTGTGGGTGTTTTATATGTTATGTGTCTTAAAGAAACTTTGAATCCAGACCCTCCTCGCTCGTATCTAACCTGTCAACTGCTCCATTCATTCAACCCCATCATGAGGAAAGATGGGAGAAGTTAATTTTTAATTTTATAAAAATATTTTGGACCATACTTTTCAGAATTCCAGTCATTGGGATTCTGGCAGCTGTGTTGCAAAATTGTAATTTCCCTCTCTCTGCTCTTAAGCTACTCTGTATGGAGACAAATTAGAACTGCAGCAGCCGCCCGTCGGCAGAGCTGTGTTTTTTGCAGGGCCCAACTGTTCCATGCCCTGAAGAGCCGGGCCTGGGGATCTAAGTCAGGCAGAAGGAACGGGCCTCGGCGGCTCTTAGCCCCTCGCCAGCCGTGTGTTCTCAACTCCCCAGCCTCTTCTCTCCCTTTATTTGTAGAGCCTCTGCGAGGTTCCTGTGTCCTTTGTGTTAGAGGCGAGATGGACTAAATATGGCTCCTTGGTGAACCCCCAGGCGAGAATCGTGAGCCTCACTGTGACCGTCGCCACTGCTGCCTTGCCCCAGGTAGGTGCAGCACAGAGTGGAGAGCGCTTTCCCCCCAGCTCCCAAGGAGGGGAACGGAGCTGCTTTGAAGGGGGGCCTTTATGGACTCCGGCGAGGGACCTGCAGGAAGGCCTGCACGGAGGAGTCCCCCTTGTTTTGAGCAGCAGCATCCGTTGCTCTTTTGTGCCCACCGGGCTCCTTTTGGCCCACCCTTGACCTCGAGGGAGGGTGAGGCACAGAGTTGCCGGTTCTTCGGCCAGTCTCACAGAACCGTAGAATGGTTGCGTTGGAAGGGATCCCCAAGGGCCATCTAGTCCAGCCCCCTGCCATGCAGGACGCACACCGTCTATCCTACGTTGTTTCTTTACGTCTGATGTGCACAACCTGAGACCCGCTGGCGCTTGATCCTTCCCTCCTCTGCTGCAGCAAGGAAAGGAAGCCCGTGGTGGCCCTTCACCCCTTGTGGGTCAGGAGTTTCGGAGTTTGGCGCTCAAGAGTAGCTGGGCGGCTATAGGGTCCCCCCCCCTTGCTTTCCAGGGTATTTCATGTTTAGTTGCCTACTGCACCTTGCCCGTCGGAAGCTGTGTTGACGTGGAAGTTTTGAGATTCCCTGGGGGAGACCTGGCCATCAACGCCGAGTTGTAGCTAGTAGGCAAAAGAGAGCGGTAAGGATTCCACCCACCCACCCAAGAATAGGCACAGCCCTAAACTTCTTCTCCCAGGGCCTTCTTGGGGTTTTGTCATCTGTGCGGTCCCCTTTTCGTTTAGGAACTCGACATTAGACCTTCTCAGGGCACAGTTTGTTCTGTGGCCTTCAGCTCCCTTTCCACCTCACCGAAGCAGCCGGTGGAATTGACCCCTCCGCCTCTTTTTCCCCAGATTGATTCGGGCAGCGCAAGAACCCTCCAGGTGCTCAGCTCCGTCCGCTTCGTCGATGTCTCCACACCTGCAGAACCCGGTTACAAAGCTCGGCCGACCATCCAAGCCCAGTTGCCGTTTGACTTTTTCTTCCCGTTCGTTTGAGTCCCGCCATGTCCTGCTTGACTCGGTTTAAACGAAAAAGGGTTTTCACATCAGGATTTCAAAGAGCCGGGACCAATCCTGAGATTCTTGCCCTGCGCCCTTTGGGTGGCATCACAGCAAAGTGTGTGCTTTTTTTGGTTTTTTTTTGGGAAGAACTCCCAAAGAAGGCTAGACACCCTTAGCAGAGTTGGGTTAACGCTGCAGTTGGCCTTGGCAGAGGGTGCCAGAGCCGGGCTCACCCCTTTTCCGTCGCCCGCCTGCCAGCTGCACCCGTTCCTCTGGATAAAAGCTGACTTGGCGGGTGGGTCACAGAATCCCTCGACCAGCCAAGTCGTGTCCCGAAGAGAATTCTGGAGACAGCCTTGGAAGACTCCGTGGCTCAGGGGATGTGGAGGTCAGGAAGGGGAGGAAAAAAACTCAAGAAAAGTGAGGGAGAAAACACATGCACAGGAGCGGCAGAGAAAGAGACCCTTCTTTTACACAGATTTGATTTTATTAAATTATTTTTGCTATATATATTTTTTAACCTGTACAGCTGTACAATTAAACATTGGAATAATAGGATTTCTGCCCCAGTTTTGAGCTGTTTCGCAACCCTGATCGCATCTCAAGCGAGCAAAGGAGAATAGGATACATCTGTAGACAATGTAGAGAATATACAAAAGAATATTTTCGAAAGGTCACAGTACAACGAGAGGAAAATAAGATAGCCTCTCAGGCCTGGCGCTTACTTCTCCGAAGCGCTTCAGCCCAGGAGGGGCCGCCTGACACCTATCTGGACTGGTCGAGAAGTCCATGTTGCTTCAACAAGCGGTTGAGCCGTTCAATTTCCAGCTCCTGAGGAAGGAAGCAAATGTTCCTAGGTCAGTGTTGTTGTTGTTTTTAAATTGGTAATATTTCTATCCCATCTTTCAGGGTAGTCTAGGTGCTACTGCGCCTTCTTACTTTATCCTCACGCCATCCCTATAAGGTAGTTCATACAGAGAACGGGAAGGTTTTACGGCTCAGTGGGTGCTCCATCATGGCTTTGCGAAGTCCCGGTTCAACACCGTCGCCCAGTGGTTCTGAATCCTTTTGGGAAAGCTGATAAAAGCTATGCATTCTAGCCCCAGAAAAGTGGACAGACCCACACTTAATTCAAGGACTCCTGCTTAGGAGTGCTGGCTGTCTCCACTACAGCACATTATTTCTGACACACCTGCCTGGGCTGACCGACGGAGGTAGACCCACTGAATGAATAGGATTTACATCATGTGTGCCAACTCAGCCTTTAGCAAGAGTTCCCCAACCCCTTAAGCAGCCATTTGCTGGTCCTCACGTGCAGACCGTGAAGAGAATTTTTGTGTGTGTGTGTGTGAGAGAGAGAGAGGGAGGGAGCTTAATAAAATGTCTATAAAGGTAAAGGTTCCCCTTGACTCCAGTCGTGTTCAACTCTAGGGGGCGGTGCTCATCCCCGTTTCCAAGCCATAGAGCCAGCGTTTGTCCGAAGACAATCTTCCGTGGTCACATGGCTAGTGCGACTTAGACACGGAACTCTGTTAGCTTCCCACCGAAGTGGTCCCTATTTATCTACTCACATTTGCATGCTTTCGAACCGCTAGGTTGGCGGGAGTATAATGTCTATAATGACTCCTATAAGGATTAGGGTTGTGTCAAATGGAAACACCAGCCCTAGTCAGAAACATACACAGAAACTCACCCATCTCATCCCTGAGCTTATCTGGTGCAAAGGAGAGAAAAGTCACACTCGTTTAGATGGCCCACTAGATTTACTTTCTGTAACAGAATCGTAGAGGAAAACGGAAAGAGGGTCCCCTGCGCGCTGTGGTGCCACAAAGGGCGAGCACCCCATTTCCTTGGAACACCAGGGGGTTAAGCAGCCCAAAGTCCTGCCAGTCACTCTCTTGTCTTCCACACAGGAGACTCTTCTGATCCTCCACCCCTGAAATGCAACCGTCTCACGGTCCAAAAGACTTTTCAGTCACGTCTCCGAAAGCTTGTTTAAACCAAATTCTGGGTTGGGAAATACTTTTTATTAGATCACTGAATAATTGCCCTTTATAGAGAACTTTGAGTGATTTGATAAATGTGTTACCCAACCAAGAATGTTGCTTCTATTTATACCTTTTTCCCCTTACTTGTTTAAACACTTAATCCAAAAGGACATGGAAGCGTGAACACTAAATTAAGCGTGAACTAAGTGAGCTTCAGGTTTATTAGAGCTGCTAGATCTTCTTACTCAGAAAATACTAAATACTGTTTTGTGCATGCATTGTGCTGGGTCCTCACTGTGCCATTTGTGAAGGGTTATCAGATTCACTAAATAGAAGGGGAAGATATGGAGGCAGTGGTAGGTTTCCCTTTCTTGGGCTCCATGATCACTGCAGATGGTGACAGCAGCCACCGAATTAAAAGACTGTTTGCTTCTTGGGACGAAAGCAATGACAAACCTAGACAGCATCTTAAAAACCAGAGACATCACCTTGCCAACAAAGGTCTGTATAGTGAAAGCTATGGTTTTTCCAGTAGCGATGTATGGGAGCTGGACCATAAAGAAGGCTGACCGCCGAAGAATTGATGCTTTTCAATTGTGGTGCTGGAGGAGACTCCTGAGAGTCCCCTGGACTGCAAGGAGAACAAACCTCTCCATTTTGCAGGAAATCAACCCTGAGTGCTCACTGGAAGGACAGATCCTGAAGCTGAGGCTCCAATACTTTGGCCATCTCATGAGAAGAGAAGACTCCCTGGAAAAGCCCCTGATGTTGGGAAAGTGTGAAGGCAAGAGGAGAAGGGGACATCGGAGGACAAGATGGGTGAACAGGGTCATCGAAGCGACCAACATGAATCTGAGCCAACTCCAGGAGGCAGTGGAAGACAGGAGGGCCTGGCGTGCTCTGGTCCATGGGGTCACAGAGTCGGACACGACTTTATGACTAAACAACAAATCAGATTCACCATATTTTCCCCTTGCAAATTATTCTGCAGGATAGTTGGGAGCTTGCTGGTGCTTATGTATAGGGTGAGGAAATAATCTAGACAGCACAATGATGGTTGCATAGCCAAATTTCACCAGAAGCCAACGGAGAATGGTGTGACTCGCTTAAATCCCACTGGGTTCAACTCTGCACAGTCACATCCGGCTTTAGGTAGATCAGACCCAGCGATGCTAAAGAGACAAGCCTTACCCTCTCTGCACAGTTGCTTTCCAGCTGCTGGACCTTTACCGTCAGCTGCAAGTTGGCTTGTTTCAGCTTGGACACCTGCTGCTCAGATCGCGTCTTCACCGACAAGATGATCCCTGGGATTTGGATTCAGAGGACAGAACAATTAAGTGCTGACAAGCCCCCAACCGTCTTACTTCATCATAGCTTCATGAGAACGTTGCTACAGTGATCCCTGTAACCAAGAACGTGGGGTGTTCTACCCATTTCACAGGTCACAGGAACGGAAGGCTGAGGCATGGGGTGTGGCATTGAGGGAGACTGAATCCAAACCCCTCAGGTTGTGGTCCAGTTCGTTCCGCTGGTTCTCAAAAGGTTAACCTCTCAAGATACCCATGTCAGGGTCTCCATAAATTTAAGGACAGCATGGAACGGAAGAACCGGAAGCGAGGGAGCTGACGATCAGAGCAGAAAGTCTTATAAAGCAAGGGGTGAGGAACCTCAAACCCCTAGCATTGAATCTGCCTGTCCTGGGAACCCTCTGAATTCCCTCATGTAGCCACCTACCCTTCCCAGTGATTTCATCATCATGACCCGCAGCATCTTATTTACTTTATAGTCTCCATTCTAGAAAGCTGAAATACCCCCTTCGTTTAAGGCTTGCTTACTGACCAGAGCTTTTAAAGCCAAAACACGATGGAGGTTTTTAGCTCAGCCTTCTGTTTCTGATGCGGCCACGCAGCCCCCGAGGCAGTGCGCGAAATGGAAGGCAGTCTTTTGGTTGGAAAAACACTCCCTATTCTTGGAGAAGAGGAACCAAAAGATTAGGGAAGAGAGGGTCAACCTGTCAAAATTCACTTTTCGGAAGTCGCTGGATATCAAGAAAGCCTTCCTTGACGAAGAAGCGGCTCCATCTGCATTATGCACAGGTGTGCCCTTTGTGGGCATCACAGTGCATGGTTGGTTCCCGGTTGCCTGCCGCCTGTTCAAAGACGTACCATTGATAATCCTGGCCACACGCCACAGCCGAAGGAGGATCAGCAAGCCGAGGGCTTCAAACTCATGTTCCCGGAAGAGGACGACGATGTCGAGGACGAACGAGATGATGACGACGACAGCGTCCAAGACTTCAAACTTGTGATGGAAGAATTCCAGGCGGTAGGCAAAGAGTTTGAAACTCACTTCCACCAGGAAGAGGGTTAAGATGGAAAGGCTCAGGTAATGGAAGACCTGGAAGGGGGAGGAAAACAGCACCCAACATGTCTAGAGAGAAGCTGGTTGGGAAAGGCCAACAGCGAAAGGCCCTTCGCATTCCCCAGGTTTGGGTTTGGAGTGATTTGTTTTAACCTTGGGTGCAATGTCGTCCTTGTCTGGATGGATGATCTTTAGTTCGAAGAGGAGTTCTCCCAGGACCAGCACGGCATCCAAGATAACTAGGCAGACAACCAAGATCTGGAATGAAGAAACAAAATGAAAAACCAGAGAGAGCTATGGAAAGGTCCTTGGAAACTCAATTCGTACAATGCTCAGCCTTCTAAAAACCATGACCCTTTTTAAAAAAATGAACATAATTTCAAAAAGTCCCAGGTTAGATTCCTGGTGCCTCTAGGTGGCACTGGCAAAGAATTGGGCCTGGAATCCCGGAAAGCTGTGGCTGCCGGCCAGAACAGGCGATGCTGGCCTAGAGAGGACCACTGGCCGCGTTATCAGGCCAATTTCTGCATTCACATGAGAACTGCTGGGGAGGTCCGTGGTTGAGATCTCTGTCTGCAGAGCTAGAGGTTGGGAGTTCGATTCCCCCCCACACACACACACTTTGAGGGTCCCTTCCAGCTCTGCACTGCTAAGGTTATTATGATCATTGCTGTTAACCTTGTGTGAAATAACACAGACAACAGAGCCCCAAGCAACTGGTGCCCGGACGATTCTTCCTCGGTACCTGAAACTTGTGCGTCTGGAACAGTTTCTTCATCATGTCCCGGAAAGTCAGACGCCTCGGAGGCGAATCCACTTTGACCGCTGTCTCGGGGGACTTCCCTTCTCCTTCCTCCTCCATATCTTCTTCCTTCCACTTCTTGTAATCATTGTTCCACTGAGCAGGATCGTCACCCACGACCGTAAAATGCTTCAGGTACATCGACATGGTGGCGGTCTAAATGGGCATCAGCCTGCCCCCCCCAAAATCCCCCAAAAAGGTAGTAAAACCAAATCACAAAAAGATATGTTAGGAACGCCACTGCTTAACAGTGCGTGCAGAACAGTAAGAAAAACACACATTCTCACCATAGAAGGTTGAAATGTGTCTGGTTTTTTTTCATATTTTCTTAATGGCCCAATAAAGGTGTCCCCTGTCCCTGCATTTGTATTGTTTTGAGGGCCATAGGCCTCTTTCCTAATTATTTTTGACACGGGTACCTCTTATTCATTGTTAAACAGACCAAGGCAGTCTAGAAGAGACCCTCTGTAATCAGTTGAATAGCTGTGACCTCAGTGCCACTGATTTCATTGGGTCTCCTCTAAGTATGACTAACTTCGAAGTGAAGCCATTAAGTATGGCACCGATCGATGCCCTCAGCCTTTCTATTCCAGGCGAAGGAGGTAAATCTGAAAGTGCAAATCATGGGAGTCCTTATCGCCAGTGCCCTCGCTTACAAAATAAACCAAAAAAATACAGGCAGGTAGGATGGTCCATAGTGACAAGTTAGAAGCACCTCTTTTGTACAGTTAATAACTCTTAACTGCCTATTCAAGATCAAGCCCCCTATAAATACTTCACCTTTGCTTGCAAAAACTTACTGTGAAAAATCCATTTCTACTCCAGTTAAAGAGAGACATTGCACGTCAGCTCAAAAGGACAATGTGATCTCGTTCTTCCTACACGGAAAGTCTTGAAACACACAAGAGCTAAGAGTCCTGTCTATACTAACTAGACCATTGTTGGCAGTCTGTCCAGAAAGCCACCACAGGTTTCTAAAGTGTTTCCTTTCTTACCTTTTCAAGTCTCTTTCTCTCTCTTTCTCTCCCCTGCAAAGTTGTCCTTCACTCTCACCAGCTGCAGTGGTGGTGGGGGAAAACAAACCCACCACCCACCTTCCCACAACTTCTCAGGCACAGTAAATAGCTTTAATAAACCCATCAGCTGCTCAGATGACAGGTGCCGCTGTTTGGTTGGTCGGGAAAAAAAAGGTTTCCTGTTTCTTCTGTGTTTTGCATAAGAGGTTCACTTTTCCCCCGGTAGAGCCACGGAAATCTCCCCCTTTACAAAACCTGCCAGGGCGGGGGAAACCCTCGTATTTTTCTGATTACAGTCAATACCTAATGAAAAAGTAATTGCCAGTGTGTTGTGAGTATAAGCTGTTCTCCACTTGGAGCTTGTTGATGCTCCGTTCAAGAGAACCTGTTTGACTGCTCGTGTCTGTTTGGGCCTCCTGGTCCAAAGGGTCAAGGTTGCTTGTAAACCACTCACAAATCACTTAAGAACAAGTTGTGCTCCCCACTCGGTTAACTATCACATCCGTCTTCCTCGGAGGATATGGAATATCCCATCCGTCCCCTGACTGCATGTAGGAAGGATCGGAGAAGTTGGAAAAGAAGCCATACTATTCCTGTTCCTTGCATTTATTTATTTAAAAAAAAATCCCAGCAACTTAGTTCCTTTAAGGGGCCATCCTGAATACCATTCAACCTTGTCTGATACTGTCAGGCAGGCAAGATGAAGCCAGGTAAGGATTTCGAAGGGAGAATATCAAGGAGTATGAAGCGCTGTTCTCAATTCCTATGTATGGATTCAATAGCCGGACAGTGGAGGAATCAAGCAACCAAATCCTATCAGCCTATTAGAAAAATTCCAATTAAAATACACCCTTCCGCAGAGTGCCTCCTTAAAACACCTCTCTCGTTTTTAAACTAGTTATGTATTTTTCGCACTATAAGACGCACTTTTTCCCACAAAATGGGGGTGGAAAGTCTGTGCATCTTATGGAGCGAAGAAAACAGATTATTTTTTCCTGTTTAATTCTCCTAAAAATTTGGTGCGTCTTATGGAGAGGTGCGTCTTATGGAGCAAAAAATATGGTACTTTTGCTTCTATTCCACATGGGCTCATTCTTCTACATCCTTCGTGATACCTTTCATCAATTCAGCTGCAGGCAAACTAACCGGTCCCTGACACCCTCCCAGATATTTTTTCTTTCTTTCTTTCTTTCCTTTTTTTTTCCCATCAGGAGCTCTCTGGCAAAGATCCAGTTAGGAGGCTAGTTTTAGCTACAAACGACTCCTTTAGAAAAAATAGACTCACTGATTTCGTAGTGGAATCCAGCACCCACAAAAAAAAAAGCCACGTGAGGGGATAGAAAAGGGGCAAGCAAACTGCTGATGAAGAAATACATAATTGCAACACGTAATGTTAAGTAGTTACTATTCAAACTGTAGAAACAGCAACAAGAATTACTTGATTTTGAAAAGTAACTTTTCAAGCTTGCCACTTGCCTGAGTAACATAGTGGAAAGTAGATGTTACCCATGGTCTCCACATTTTCTGTTTCGTTCCCACCCCCTGGTTTGTTTCTCTGTCTTAAGATCAACACAACACTGGCTGGGGGATTCTGGGTGTTGTAGTCCGAAACACAAACCAGTACAGCTCTAATTTCTAGTTAAATATCTGGAAACATGTTTTTTGTTTTTTAATTAGATGAACTCTATGTGATATATGCTGACAACTTGGAACTGACTTCTAGCGATCCTAAGAAGACTTTTAAGGTAAGTGAAATATTTAAATAATAGTTCTACCAGTTCTGCCACCCCCATCTTCCTCTGTGAGCCTCTACCCTCAAGCAGGGCTTTGAGCCCCAAATCTTCTGAGCCTGAGTCTGTCATTCTGTTCATTGCATCATAAAATCTAGCAAGAGTGGAAAAAGTTTTGCGGGGGGGGGAGGGTGATGCAGAAAAGTCCCTTTCTTCCTCCCACAATACTTACACTCAAAACACCCTTCTTGTCTAAAGTCACAAGCCAGGAAATGAGTCACTATCATTAGAAGAGAGACCCCCCCACCTTCACCTAGACCTGCAACATCAAACTACAGTAAATTTAAACACGGCCATGTTGCATCACACTTGAGCGTTCCAGACTGTCATGCTAAGAATTTTGCTGATGCGCCGCTACTTCAAGAATTAGATTTTCATTAACTTTGGAGAGCCAGTTTTAACTCTTCTGAGCAAATGTTGTCAGGGGAAGAGATCCCTCTGCCCCACTGATCTTGGCTGAGGGTGGGGAAAAAAAATAGTGATGCACTGCAAATGCTCAAAATCCAATTTTTAAAATAGTGTATTTTATGTACTAAATCCAGTTATTAGTCCCTCATTAGAATAGTCCCCATGGGAATCAATACTTAACATAGTTAATGACCACACAAATCTTGCCTCTTCAAAGGACCAGCTCTTGTTTAGCAGAAATCAATGCTCCCCCACCCTGCAATGGGGTTGACCCAGGTTGGTTTCTGAGGTGGATTTAGCCATCTTGTATTCTTCTCCTCCTTCTCTAAGGGTCCCAAAATGGGGTTGACCCAGGTTGGTTTCTGAGGGGGATTTAGCCATCTCATATTCTTCTCCTCCTCTTTAAGGGTCCCAATATGATCTGCTCTGTTGTAAAAGCTGGGCTTTCAGGCGGGATAGAAATAAAATAAATAAATAAATAAATCTGCTCTGTTGTAAAAGCTGGGCTTTCCAATCCCTTTTCTTGGTCTCTGCTTGTGCCTGAGAGATACCACAGAGCGAACAGAAACAAGGATTGCTTTGGTCCTCCCTTACTGGTATTATACAGAATTGTCCACTTTGTCGGCTGGGGAATTTGGGGGGGGAGCTGTAATTTCCCACATAGTCCGTTCAGACCCAGAAAAAGCCATTCTGTTGATCTTGCGATTCACAAACGTTTTCCCAAGAAGCAAGAACACAGGTGATTTTTAACCTGGAGTTAGGAAGGGGGGGGGCTAGAGAAAGATGGAAGGAGATGTCAAATAGGCCCATGTTGAACGGGGCCACACCATAATGTTCCTGAAGATATCAGACAAAGATACAACTTCCCCCATTTTTAACTGGAATCTTTGTCTGATTTTTCAGGAACATTGTGGGGTGGCCTGCAAATCTTATTGCTAAAGTGACCAGTCTTATTGTTTATGGACCAACAAATAGTAAGACTGGCTGCAAGTTTAGCTGCAGGACTGATTCCACCAAAGGCCACCTGTCCTTCAGGATCTCACCAAATGGTCCACCCAACCTTCCTTGGTTGATGTTCGGACGACAATACGAAAGGTACAACCTAAACCTCTGAGCTATCCAGCCAGCTGAATTATTTTAGGATGATCGTTTGAAAAGAAGATGCATACAGTCCCCCCCCCCTTCGTGTTTCTAAGTTGCCCATGCAACAAACCAGAAGCCGTTGTCATTTTTGTTTTTATGGAGTTTTCCTTAAGTTGTGAAATTTAAAAAACAACAACACCCAACAGATCTCTTGTTGAGAGCGACATGAAATGCATCATTCCTCACGCAGGGCGGGAATTATTCTGCCGTTCTAAAATCTATTTTTAGTTTATTTTATTAGATTTATACCCCGCCCATCTAGACAGATAGTCTACTCTGGGCGGCATGAATGGAGTAAGGGAGGATTTATACTTCCGAGGACTGAACCCGGGATATTTATATCTGCAGCGCTGTGACACACTCTCTCTCTCTCTGAAGCTCTTAAGAAGAGTGTCTGGCCCAGTGACCTTCACCTGAAGGAGGACTAGGCTTGACTGTCTGCCCTCAGCATGGCTTAGGTGGATGATGAGCAAGA